ATGCTCATTTAACCTGTTGTCATTAGGGATAAGCTGTGAACCAAAATATGCCCCAATAATCTCCCTGCCAACTAGACAAGAAATTGCATTTCACAGCCATGAACAGAACCTATAATCTGCTGACAGGACATGAAAGGACACTTTTCCTAGTGAACATCAGTCCCCCAGTACTAACCAACTTCTTCACTGTGGCCAGGCAGATTTACCAGAGCAAGAAATAAAAGGCAGGAAACTCAGGATTATTTGGATTTTGCACAATGATACTCTCACTGCCATACATAGTCTCTTGGATCATATGCATGCATGCCTATAAACTGATTAAATCAATGACGGAACTTATCTGGCTTCACTTTTTTGACAGTAAACTGCTTACAAGACAATAACAGCTTCTAGCACTTCCCTCCAGCAGAGTTCACTGAGAACAATCCTCTCTTTTTCTCATAAAGCATCTTTCATTGTGATGTTGCAACAGACCCATGTACTGCAGACAGTAGACACAAATCACTAAATAAATTGCACGCATGCCTTGGAAACCACAACTCCAAAAATAGGTCTCTATCAGCTGAGCAATAGGAAAATTCCCCTTACTTATAGTGATATCAACTTTCTTACTCCCTCTTCTGGCTAGTCACTAGACAGCAACATTTATTGCATCTCAAAATGCAAGAATGTGTAACATTATCATTTTTTATTGCAGTTGCCACACACTTTGCTGACACAAATGGAGTGCTCTTGGTATAATAAAGACAGTGAAAAAAAATTCTGTCTTCTACAGTTCTGAGCTGAAGCAACATAAATGTCCTATTAAGTTTTTTCTAATGAAAGGAATAAACACTGTTATTTTCACCTAGTTTGTCCCTGGAGCGCATGACATTTTGTTTAACTAAAATTTGAGGAGTGGGTAGAAAACCTGGTTGAGTTTGACACCCGTAGGAAAAAGGAGAAATTGACAAGGGGTCAAAGACTTCTCGGAGATGATACAATTAGTAATTACTGTAGATCATGTGGCACAACATCCCACAAACTGTGCACTTTGAAACATGATTATTCTAATCTTACTCAACTGAAGATGAACAATAATGGATATTCATTCTGAGTCTTTCTTTACAGCACCGGACATGTTAATTGATTAAACAATGGAAATTGATTACATCTGAACACAGGGAAGCAAATCTGATACTTAAAAGGGCTGTGAATGCTGATACTTAATTTACAAAAGTGGGGAAAGATTATACTATGTCTGACTCAAACCAGGGAGCCACCTCTTACCTTGAGAAGCCTCCACAGTGATCAAACACGGGAACAGATAAAAATATGATTCCATATAGAAGAGACAAAAAGTACAACTGAGACTGAATTTGTATCTGATGGAATGAAAATTGGCCATGTGCAGAAAACTGCAGTTAACTTCTTGAGTAATTTACATACATGTACCGATTTCCCAAACACTTCTTGGAAGGATTTGATCCCATGAATGAGAGGGTGTGATTCTTGCATAATCATTTTAAAGCCCCAATTCAGAAAGTTACATACGCCTGTCCTACTCACTGACTTTATGCGCTTGACTTTAGGTAGGTGTTTAAATATCTTACTAGGAGATAGCAAGGGAGCAGGTGGATCTTGTCGAAGGCCTATAGCCATCTGTTGTATCTCAACAGCTGTATGCCGCATTAGTTACACTAAAGGGCACACATTAAATAGTTCATTCAATAGCCAGCATTGCAGATTAGACACTGTGTTTGAGAGATCCAAGTTTAGAGCTGCATTGGGGTTATGGCATCAACAGGAAGCCCAGATGTGGAAGCTGTTAGTGTGTGGAAACACCAACTATTTTAGATACCATGAGTCACAGTTGTTTGATTCCCCACAGACCATTACAAGGGTTACCCTTGCAAACTTTTAAGTTGATGCCATATCCCTAGTGCAGTTCTCAACTTGGATTTCCCAAACACAGTGTCTAATCTGCAGTGCCAGCTGTTGAAGGAAGCGTTTAATGTGTGCCCTTTAGCATAACAAACGCGGCATGCAGCTGTTGAGACACAACAGATGGCTGAGGAGGTCTCTTGTGATCTCTAGTGAAAAGTGTTTATTCCCCATTCATTTGCACTTGGGTTGTGTATTTTTTTAAAGCTTCATTGCTGGACTTTCACGGCAAGTGGGCCTGTCTACACCGAGGAAGCGTCTCACCAGTTCTACCGACAAAACCCTTGTCTAGACAAGGCTTAAAAAGCTGGATCAATTGTACCATTGGTTTGAGCAGACTAGCTTGTCTACATTCATTTAATTAAAATAGAAGTAGCAACTGGTCTGGCTACCAAATGTTCATCTATGTCACCCACCAATTTTCACACTGCTTCATAAGAAAGGATGTTAGATCCTCTCTAAGACCCTCTGCTGGTGGAAAGCCTACACAGATCATGGCTCCTTGGCCACCCCCTTTTCCTAGCCATGTCCTATACACTTCTTTATGCTGTGGAATGCAAGCAAGGAAGGTGCATCTCGCTTGGTAATTTTGCCACACTAGGGAAATCCCCAGGAAGTCTGTTGATTCGGCCAATAATTGCTTTTCACTGTTGGAGTGATGCAAAGAACCCTGAGCAGGGCTGAAAATCTGGCCCTTGTTTTAATAGCTTTTGATCCAGCAATAATTTGTGGAGAAAAGTAGCTCTAGTCTTACAATTAATTCTCTTGACCCTGATGGGACAAGTTGCATGAGTGAAATTAACCACATATGCAAGCATCTGAAGGACCAGGCTCAGAGATTAAAAACTTTTTAAGGCAGTGCTACTGTTAATAAAAAAAGTCAATCCAATCTAATAAAGAATGTTTTGTAGCTTCTGTTTACAGTTATTGAGAAAGACAAGTAGTTAAATCTGATCAGGAAAGTATTGCACCTTGGTGATACTGAACAGCTGCTAAAATCCAGTCTCTGTTGTATCTGCAATGCAGCAAAATCTGAAGATAGGCAGCTACTTCAGCTGAATTAATGTAGAATGAGTTAGCACCCAGTTGCCTTGTTTGCAAATGGAAGGATGTGTTACTGCTCTTCTTTTTTATGTAGGCTTCACTCAGTCAGCTAGTTTAGAGTATGCCTCAGATTGTGATTTGCATACAGTACCACTTCCAAGTCAGTGTACAAGTTTTCCCTCTCTGATTTATGATGCTTTGGAGATTGCTGGAAGTAACATTTTTTTAAAGGTTGTAAACAAAGTATAGAAGCTACCTCTCTCCCCGATGGATTTTCCCTCAGTAAATCTTTAATTAACTATTTAAACATACAGCTTTTGGGCATCTATCAGAGGAGGACCTAACAGGCAAAACCACAGTGGGGTTTTCAAAAGGGCTCATTGCTACTGCAACTCACCACTGAATTCTACAATAAAATTCCCATTTAATTACAAAGTACTAAGTAAAGCTAACATTAAAAATGCAACTCTGTGTCTCTGTACAAAAATATTTTGAAGCATAAAAGACCATATGAATGCAGACAAGACAATTACAAACTCTCTCATATCTCGGTTGGATGCAGTATGGGACTAATTATTCATGCTATAGCCATGTTCTTATGAGCATCCATACTTTTAAATATGTGAGCAGTTTCACTGACTTCAATGGAAAGACTCACACATCCCTGACGTTACAAATGTGCTTAAGTACTTTGCTGAATTGTGGCCGTCTTTTGCCAATAAACAGTTTAAAATGATAAACTTATTCAGCTATATAGAAGATAATGGTTAAACTAAACAAAACAAAACCGCTTCCAAAAGGGACATTACATGTAAGTGAGAATGCATGAAAGAAAAAAGGACCAGATTTAAAAAGGCTCATATTTTAACAGTGATGTTTTGCTGTATATGTACCTTGCAGACACATTTGTTGTGAAGGAAACACATTCATTGACGAAAGTTAGTGGAGTCGTTCCTGTAATATCTTCCCATTGAGCAGGGGTCGTTCCACCTGAAAGAAAAATAATAAAAATAGGTAAAAGTTTAAAAACAAGCAATAAGCCCAATTTTGCATGGATTTAGTCACATACAGAGTTAGCCCAAATAAACCAACTTGCATTTCTTCAAACAATCAGTGCTGAAGCATAGCTCTGGAAATAATCCTTTCAAACACATCTGAAACTACATGACATTTACAGGTAAACGCATACCCCTGAAAGAGTAGAGCAAAAAGATGAGCTAGAATTTTCTGCATGTCATATCTACACATAATGGGAGCATGGATCAGCATTCATATCACACTCCCTTGTAGGTACCTGGCCCAAGACAATAAAGCTAATGATGTAACTGGCAGATCAAATTTGGTGATGAATTGTGGTCATGTGCCACCTGAAGCACATTGCGCATAAGCCAAGGAGGAGACCAAACATAATTTCTGCCCACACCAGATTCTTTACCCATATAGAGGAAAATTATCGCATTTAACAACGCGGCTGAAGTTGTACTTGGGAGGAAGAAATTCTAATAAATTTGTGATTTTTAGTGTATTGAATTTTATTTTTCAATAATTCTGATTAACTCCGTTTCAAGTTTTACTATTTACCTCATTCTGCAGAAGAATATTTTGCAGATTTATAGAAAAATCTGTCTGTATTATATTTTAATGGCCAGATTGTGAGCCCCTAGCTCATATTAATGAGCAATTTCTCATCACTGATTTAAATGGGAGTACCTTACAAACGAGAACCAGGGAGTCTAAATTTGGATGTTGATTGTGTTTTTTTAAGCATCATTGAGCAGAATATGGTGCTCATTAAGCAGAACCCATGAAGAAAATGCTAAGAAGTGAAAAGCATGGGGCTATGCAGCATGGAAAAAAATATACAGTGCTGCTATTGTTCTCACAAGTGGTGAAATATCAGTTCCACTCCATGGAATGAATGCAGTTTATTTTCATACACAGCCCCCAGCAAATCTTTTATAGAGAGTTATGTCAATGTCATCTTTTTAATACATTTGACCCAAACCACTTTATTATCACAAGATTCTGCAAACATGCAGAACTCTGGTTCACTAAACCTACCTGTTATGCTGCATAGTAATCTTAAAGTAGGTGTTTCACCCCCATAACCATTCATCATCCCATCACTGGAGACTTTGGGGACAGGAATAGTCATGGTGATTGGCTTGTGGAATTTTCTCCTTCTTGGTTCCAGGGTGACTATAGGACTGAAGGTTGCCTTGTTCCCTAAAATCTTCCTTACAAATTCATTGTGCATAGGCTGGGCCTTTCCAATGTAACAAGACAAAAATGAATAAGCAATAAGAACATAAGAACGGGTATACTGGGTCAGACCAAAGGTCCATCTAACCAGCATCCTGTCTGCCGACAGTGGCCAATATCAGGTGCCCCAGAAGGAAGGAACATAACAGGTAACCCTCACATGATCCCTCTCCTGTCACACATTTCCAGACAGAGGCTAGAGACACCATACCTATCCATCTTGGCAAAAAGCCATCGATGGACCTAACCTCCATGAATCTATCTAGCTCTTTGTTGAATTCTGTTAAGGTCCTAGCCTTCACCACATCCTCTGGCAAGGAGTTCCACAGGTTGACTGTGCGCTGAGTGAAGGAAAACTGTCTCTATCATATCCCCCCTTAGTCTCCTCTTTTCTAAGCTGAAAAGTCCAAGTCATTTTTAATCTTCTTCATATGGGACCCGTTCCAAACCCCTAATAATTTTTGTTACCCTTTTCTGAACCTTTTCCAATGCAAATATATCTTTTTTTGAGATGAGGCGACCTCATCTGTATGCAGTATTCAAGATGTGGGTGTACCATGGTTTTATATAGAGGCAATAAGATATTCTCAGTCTTATTCTCTATCCCTTTTTTAATGATTCCTAACAATCAGTTTGCTTTTTTGACTGCCTCTGCACATTGAGTGGATGGTTTCAGAGAACTATCTACAGTGACTCCAAAATCTCTCTCTCGAGTAGTTGTAGATAAATTAGTCCCCATCATATTGTATGTATCATTGGGATTATCTTTTCCAATGTGCATTACTTTACATTTATCAACATTGAATTTCATTTGCCATTTTGCTGCCCAATCACTTAGTTTGGTGAAGTCTTTTTGAAGCTCTTCACAGTCTGCTTCAGTCTTAACTATCTTGAGCCGTTTGGTATCATCTGCAAATTTTGCCACCTCACTGTTTACCCCTTTCTCTAGATCATTTATAAATAAATTGAATAATATTGGTCCAAGGACAGACCCTTCGGGGACCCCACTAGTTACTAGTTAACAATATGGAACTGTAGCTTAATGAAGATGTAAATGATTGTATCTGACCACTGCTAGTGTTACGTAGCAAGTCTCCCCCACACAAATATATAATCAAATCCCACAGCCCCTTTGTGAGTTATGCTGGAATTACCATCATAGGAGAGAGAGATTAAGTGACTTGCTCAAGATCCCCCAGTCAATAAGTGACACAGTCATGAATAAAACTACAGAAACTTGACTTTCACTACATTGCTCTAGCTTCTAGACTCTGTCCCCTAAACTTTTATTGGGCTGTAGGGGCATTTTAGATAGCAGTGGGCAAATGGTGAGCTGGTATAATTGTTCAACTAGCTGCTGACTGTGCAATACCCAAAATGCATTGTTTTACCAGGGCTCAAATGAAATACCAGCAAGGAAAGTGTAATGAAAGTCTTGTCACTGATTCTCTGTACCTGGAGGCCGACACGAATTCGCTTGGTTAGCGCTCCCTCTGGGAAGACTGCTTGCACTTGTGGTACTACAGTGCTGCTAAGCACACCTCCCTCAGGTCCAATGAGGTTGCTGTCCTGTTTGATCCGGGACACCACTGCAAAGTACTGTGGGAAATCTCTGGTGATGATACGGCAGATACGCTTTTTCTCAAGTTCCTCTGGAGTATCAAGTACTGAGGGAAAAAAGAGTCATGCTCACACAATAAAAATTTCAGAGAGAGACACAATGCAGCTATTTCCAGACAAGAAAAGCTCTAAATACATTACAATAGGGGAGAAAAGCTTTAAAGAATTTTGAAATTTAAAGCAAGAACAATGAAAGCCAGAATTCGGGGGTGGGGAGGAATTAGAAATAGCGCAAAATACCTAATTCAGAACCAGACATTTGTTTTCCTATAATATGGGGGAAGGGGTGTATAGATAAAGAACTTTGGTTTTGAGCTGATCTTTATACGCTGTATCTACTTGATGGCCAAAAGATAGCAGCAGCACAGAGCTCTAATCAGTGAGGTACTGAAGTATGTGCCCGAGTTTGAGTACGCAGACGTCGGATTCATTTCTATAGTATTACTCACATGCTTAAAGTTACACATATGCTCATATGGTCTGAATCAAGACCTAACCAAGCTTATTAAAAACTAAACTCATCCTTCAGGTACAGCGTTGCTCTCCAGGCCAAAGCTCACTGTCAGTGCCATGATGCAGTTATTACTGTCCCTTCAAGGATCTTTGAGCCCCTCCAAACAAGCAGCCATCATCAAAGGTAATAAAATACCGGGCAGTGAGACATTTACAAAGGAAGCTTTCCTGTCTATGTATTAAAGACAATGTTTCCCGCGGGATGACTGAGTGACATCAGCACATCACTCTGTGTTCCCAGGAGCCCTGACGACGTGACCGCTCCTTGACCTGGACCAGCACCCACCTGTCTCTGGGCCCTGCCACCAGCCTGCCCAGCCCACGCACCTGCTATGCACCTTGGTTCTGTGTAGTTCAGACTCAGGTGCGCTCTCCCGGACCCACCGCAAGCTGGGCAGGTCTTGCACCCCGGCCACTTCCCCAGCTGTCCAAAGTGAGCGCTCTGCTCTCTGGGCTCGCCACGGAGCAAAGCTGCTGCCAATATGCCCATGTGCAAATGCTGGGCTGGGGACAGGCTGTGGCTCCTGCTGTGCTGGCCAGCCCGGTGGTGCTCTTCGGGGGGTGGGGGGAAACGAATTCAAATTAGTGAGAGGGGACAGGATATGTGCAGGGAGATCAAATTGAAGTTCAGGTTGCAGAGGAGAGCCCTGCCTGATGGGGAGAGAGCCAGGGTTGGCCCGGCCTTGGCTGTGCCCATCAGCTGGGGGAGCCGGGCTGCCTACCCCCGAAGACATGGGGGTTGGTGAATGTTGCAAGCTGAGGGCACCACCCCTTGTACTTTATTATTGTGAAAAGGGCATGGAAATTCAGGTACCAAAAGGGAGTTAAACATTGAGAAGTGTTATAAATAGAGGTTACTACTGTCACTGGAAGCTCTTCAAGATGTTTGGTCCCTATGTGTATTCCACATGTGGGCATGCATAAATCCTTCCCAGCAGTATTTACTGGCCACCACACATGCAGTAGGTGTCTCCTTGCTCATGACTGAGGGTGTAAAAACCAGCATGGGCTGAAAAATCTCCAGTCCCTCTTCCTACCGTAAATCCAACATGATCCGAAGCAGAAGGGACACAGGGTGGGAAGTGGAATCCAGATGTAGATCTAGTTACTGTAAGTAACCTCCATTTCTTCTTTGAGTTCAGGGGTTTCCTCTGTGCATTCCATATGTGAGTTATTGGCAGGCAGTGTTCAGATGGAAGGTAAGAGTGAGGAAGCCGGCAGTAAAGATGCTTACAGCACAGCAGAGGTGTTAATTGAGAAAGGGAAACTAGAGAGGCATCGGCTCGCACTGGTTCTTATACTTTCAGTCAGGAGTACGAGGAGATCTACTGTGTGTATGTAGGCCAATGAACACTGCTTGTAAGACTTTCTGGACTCATGCTCACAGCACGTACACAGACCCAAGTGTGCAATACCCCTAAGAACCAGAACCAGAAGAAGAACCATTCTTTACCAGATAATACCAGATACGTTTTGCCCCCGTGCTGCTGCCACGTTTACTGAGTGTGCATAGGCGTGCGCATGGGGTGTGCACCACGTTTACTGAGTGTGCACAGGCGTGCGCACGGGGTGTGCCAGGTGTGCCCAGGCATACCCTAATGTTTCAAAGGGGGCGTGAGCGAAGGAGCGCCGCTTTGGCGCTCTGGGGAACGGATGCTGCTCCGGGTTTGCCGTGCATGCGCAGCCAAAACCGGTGGGTTTTAGGACCCCACAGAAAGAGGCGGCAGGGACGCAGCAACGTCACCCGGCTGCCCCATCAAGCGAGGTGAGTTTAAACCCCGGGTGGGAAGGTGGGGGGGAGGGTGCTCCGGGCAGGGGCTGGGGTGC